TAGATAGATAGGCCAGGACAGAAAGAGGAGTGATAGTGTAACCGTTTTCGGCAGAACGTTTGTCGAGGTACTGACTTCACTTTTCTCTTTGACAAGTTCGTAGTTTGGTGCAGAGGATGGCAAGACTCTTTGATGATGCCGACTACGATGCCGGCGAAACGTTTGAGAATGTACCAAATCCACTGTTTGATGCTGGGAATCATGACAACTACTATGGTAGACGACTTCGGACTAGGTGCGTTCTACTAGGTCGCACTGACAACAAGACCAAATTGCGACTACAAGGTCAACCCACTTCTATAAATCAAAAGGAGACTGCGACCATACCAGTAGCCACAACTTCTTGGTCTTCTTATTTTCAAAAAAATGGTTTATTGCCTTAAAATAGGACCAACCCATAAAAATACTAATATATGAACAAACTATCATTAAATGATTTACTCAAATATATATTTTACTTAAGCATCCATTATTTAGAAATATTTTCGCAAAGCTCAACCTCATAATATAGAAATAAAACAAGTAAAATTTTTAACCTCAAACTTTAAAGAATACCCTACTTGACCACACAAGTAAAGCCAAAATTTAGGAACAAAATAAGCAAACCTATTATTAAGCCTAAGAGGCAAATAAACATAACAATAATTTTCTCTCATTAATTCTCAGTAAATCATCAATTATTATCAAAGGGCTTAATTTGGCTACACCTTGACGTATCAGCTGACCCAGCCCTGAATCAAGTATTTTTGAACACGAACCACGACCAGAAACTCTAAAAAATGTAGATCCCACTGTAAGCTCATTTTTGAGATCGCAAGTAATCGCTGTTGGGTATATGAAAAAATGCTGATGATGATGATTATTATTATTATGGAGGAGGTTGATGGCGGCACTTATGTCAGCAACACTCCTTTTTTCCTCCAGAATTGCACCCATAACTCCTCATCTTTTTGCAGTTTTCGATTATTTATACTCTTCATAATTATGTTGTCCAGGTGGCCGCCAGTGTTCTGAGGAATCTAAGTTGGCGAACAGACGTTCGCTGCCGAGCCAGCCTCCGCCGCGTTGCCGCGCCAAGACGACTCACTCTGGCTGCCATTACTGCTCGTCGAGAAGCTACTCTGCGCACCACACTCAGCGCACTCTGGAACCTAAGCGCTCACTGTGCTCAGAACAAGCGAGCGGTTTGTGAGTAGGTGCCATAATTATCTACCTCATTCGCACCTCTCCTCTGTTGTTTAATCCCCTTTTCTCATTTTCTATTTGATAATAATAAGTTTTGTATTACTTTTACTCAGCCATTTGGCATTCTATGCTTAGTTTAGCTTGGATTTGTCCAATAGATTTACCAAAAAACTTAGACTTTTGATATAATCTAAACGCTCTGTCTAGACACTAGATTTCTTTAACTTTTTCTACTGGTGATGGCATGTCACTTCATTATCGGTGGTCTTGTTGTCTTGATCGCTTTGATGCCACTTACAGGCCGGTTTAAGGAGACAACCAACCCGAGATATTGAATCCAAGCCTAAATGCCAAATGAAGAGGCGAAACTAAGTACTTGGTTCCTGTGATTAAGTAGCTATTCCCATCCTAGGTTGCAAGAAAACAGACAATTTGATGGCAAGTAAGACAAGACAAGCAACCTAGGTATTTATTGATCGCACATCGTCAAGGCATGCCGATGAAGATGAATGAGGAGGGTCAAAAGGGCCAGGCCAGAAAAGGATTGTTAAATTAGGCCAGCTTGAATGGATGTCCGACCAAAAATTTGCGTCATACTCCAGAGACGTGAAACCAGGTAGTGAGACACATTTCATCCAACTGTAAGTCACTCTTTTCTCAGCACTCGCCAAGTAGCCAACAGGAAATGCACAATCCTCGTTTCTTTCGAAACAGGCTAGCCTCAAAAAGGGAATATGACTCGACTTTGTACTTCGAAAGGAAACTTGGTTGGAAGGAATTCGTGAATTGGTCTCAACGGAAGCTACGGTCCATCACATAAAAAGCGAAAACTCAGCACGTATTGATGTGTGTTGCAGGAGCCGAAGACTACTTAGCACAATCCAACAGTCTCCACTCCGAGTCAACTCTCCTATTTA